ACAAGAGACTGGTTATTACCTCCATTTAACAGGACATGGTAATGCGTCCTGGAGAGTTTAATAATTTGTCCATGATCACAAAGCCAGTAAGTGTGAGAATAATATAAAAAACCAAACTTGCTTGACTTCAACATAAGGAAACTCTTGTAAAGGGACTCGAACTTGTCCATAGATATGCATCTTAGGTTGTATGACGCTGTCTACTTCAACAGTGCAGGACATGACCATGTAATAGATGCAGACCCAGGGAGCTCGTCATATCCTGTCTAAACAAATATCTCCCTCATGACGCTTCACTCATATTCCAATATAACTCATAAACATGAGCCCAAGTGTGCTATTTTCAGCTGAGCCTCAAAACTGCTTTAATTCCAAGTGTCTGAGAGACATCACAGTTTTTTTTAATTTACACTGTCACAATATATTATAAAAGTGATGAGAGTCATACATACCAGTCTCTCCTGACTGAGAACATTGTAAACATTCTCCTAACGAACTAACCTAAGAGGACTCTGGTGTAGATCTGAACCCAATTTCTTTGAAAAATATTGCTGCCTTCTTTGAGAAATTAAATATCAGTTTCCTCGGATTATTAGAAGCTCCATGTCAAATTTCAAAGTTCCATGGATGGCTTTAATTCACAGTGACCTAAACTTCACAAGCCTTCATATAAGTATCATGGGAATAAAACTGCTTTATAATCCTTTCTACTGGAATTGGGCTCATAATAAAGATATACTGAGTATTTAAAATATGTATCCATAGCAGAGTTGACATATTGGTACCTCATCATAATTATAATTAGGTTTTGCTCTTGTTTTTGTTGCTATTTTTTGCTCATATGTTTATTTTCTCCTCAACAATGCCTCATGGTGATCCAAGTCTGAGTAATTGCAATATTTCTTTTTTCTTTTCTTTCTGTTTTTGTTTATAACTGTATAAGTACAATGTATTGAATTACATTATAATATAATCAAATCCTTAAACAAACAACTGTAATGAAAGATGTTATTATGTTACCATCGATGTTTTCAAATAAGCATGGATATTGAATTGAATGCTCCCTGAATGGGAGACTCTGATATAAAAGCCATGTCAAGGTCTGACAAAGTACATAGGGACTCACAGCTCTTCCCAGAGTCTGCCCATTGCCTGGCTGGGTTAGATTTCCCTGGGCACTCTTGAGCTTCGCCTGCTACTCCAGGATTCAGGGCCTTGAACTCTTGGCACACCTTTTACAAACAGATGACTTAATTATAGTGTATGAGTCCCCTACCCCAAAAATCAGAATAACAATTTCAGAAGGGACAAGAGTGTGGCTCCTCTTCAGTTTGAACTGAACATCTGTGGTGTCCCTGGGTTAGAAGTAAGGGTGAATTATCTTTTATCTGGACAGTTTTCTGTCATATGGGCCAGAGATATAACACACATCCATTCAGTAGGAATATACTAGTTAGTCGTGATAACTTTTCTTATGGGATTTAAACAATCTCAGGAGGGGCATCTTATGACATAGAGTTAAATAAAAATGCAGGACACAGAAAAATATATCATTATAAGATATCTGATTATTCTTTGACATGAAAAAAAGTGGAAATGACTGCAATATGTATTAGTATGGGATTAAGTTACTCATAGCACATTCATAAATGAACAATGATGCACCTATAAGAAGTAATGAGTTGGATACCACAAAGTCAGGAAATCAAGACAGATCAACTTAAGAAGCAGAAGCAAAAGAAAACAGGCTCACAAATAATGGGAGGACAAAGAAATATGCCCCACTCAAAGGGAAAGGAAGAATCCCCACAAAGAGAACTAAATGAAATAGAGGCAAGTAAACTATAAGATATTGAGTTCCAAACAACAGTTCTAAGAAAGCTCAATGAGCTCAGTGAGCTCAAGAGAGAATTACCAAAAACTACAGGGAAACTACGAGGGACTTACTGCAAACTATATCAGCATGAAAAAGGACATAGAAACTATCAATAAGAGACAAGAGGAAATGAATACAATTTCAGAATTGAAGAACACAGTAGAAGGAATCCAAAGCAGGCTAGATGAAGCTGAGGACCGAATCAGTGAGCTGGAGAACAAAGTAGAAAAAAGCTCCCAGAAAGAGCAAGAAAATGAAAAAAGACTCAAAAAGAATGAAGAGGCATTTAGAGAAATGCAGGACAACCTGAAATGTAATAATATTCTTATAATAGGGATACCAGAAGGATAAGAGGATGAGGAAGAGATATGAAAAAGTAATGATGGAAAACTTCCCTAATTGGGGGAGAGAAAGTCACACAAGTCCAGGAAGCACAGAGGGTCCCATTCAAGAGGAACCCACTGAGACCCACTCCAAGACACATCATCATTAAAATGGCAAATATCAAAGACAGCAGAGAATCCTAAAACAAGCAAGAGAGAAAGAGGTAGCAACATATAATGGAGACCTGGTACAGCTAGCAGCTGACTTCTCAACAGAAACACTGCAAGCCAGAAAGGAATGGCAAGAAATATTCCAAGTCATGAAAAGCAAAGGCCTGCAAGCAAGACTGCTCTACCCAGCAAAGCTCTCAATTAAAATGGAAGGCAAAATAAGGAGTTTCCCAGACAAAAGAAGGCTAAAAGAATACACCTCCACCAAACCAGCACTGCAAGACATGCTAAAGGGACCGCTTGAAGATGAAGAAAAAGTTTCTATGAATACCCAGTTCCTTTCAGAGTTGCCAATACTTGATATTACCAATATTTTTAATACTCATTAATCTGATTGTGACAATGATATTTTAATTGTTCATTTACTATTTGTTGAAACTAAACCTGTTTTAGTATATTTCTTGCCTATTTCTATTTTTTTTTTAAGAAAAAAGCTTTAAATTACCTTTTGGTATTATTTACCCATTTATTGATTAAAGGTTTGTAGAACTTTTTCCCCTAAAAAAAAAAACCCCAAAAAACAAGAAACAGAAAACCTATTAACCATGTTTTAGATGTGTTGCAAATACTTTTCTATTCTACTCCTTGTCCTTTAACTTTTTTTATATGTACATTACTATATAGTTAAATGTTTAATATAGTCATAGTGTCAATATTTACTTTATAGCTTCTGGGGTTGAATATTTTACTTCAGGTCATGAAAAATATTAGTTCTGTTTTCTCCTCAAACTCCTTAGATTCTACATGTTGATTTTTTAATTCACCTGAATATTTCTTGTGAAATAGGGCTCTATATTTGTTTTATTTCAATTAATAGTGGTCCATTCTCCTTGTTTGGAGAATAAGCCTTATTTTACCCATTGATTTGAAATATCAACTTAATCATATATTATATTGTTAGACGGATATATATGTTCGTCTCTAGAATGTTCATTATATTTCATTGATCTACTTGATTATTTCTGTACTGGTGTCATGTTGGTTTAATTGCTGAGACTTTTTAATGGTTTTAAATTTTTTTTAATATTTTATAATTAACTTTGACATTTAAAAAATAAATAAAATCAATATACATTTAAGAAAGAAAGAGAGAGAGAGAGATAGAACCATTCCTTTTTGTGACAACATGGATAGAAGTGGAGAGTACTAAGCTAAGTGACATAAACCAATTGATGAAAGACAATTACCATATGATCTCACCTATAAATGGACTCTATTCAACAAAATAAACTAATGAACAAAATAAACCACAGGCACGGAAACATGGAACAGGCTGAATGTGACCAGAGGGGAGGAGGAAAGAGGACTATGGTGGAAAGGAGGGGGAGGGACTAGACAAAGAGCACGTATGAATGACCCATGGACATGGACAATAGAGTGGGGATTTATTGTGGGAGTGGAGGATGGAGGTGGGATGGGTGGAGGGGGTAAAGGGGGGAAAAATTGAAACAACTGTAATAGAATTAACATGATTTATAAATAAAAGATAATAATAAAAAAATCACACTTTGGAAAAAAAAAGAAGTAATGAGTTGGGCCTCTAAGTACTAAAAAATATATATATATATTAAAGATATCCATTGTGTTAATGAAGTCCCAGAACAATGCCTATATCATGATCATATTTTTGGTGAAATGTTTATATCCACATATGCACATTTATATGCATGTACAAGTAATGGCCTTAGGATTATATACATATGTTAGTAATATTTACCTATGGAAAAAAGTATAAGGACAAGGAGAGAACTAAATATGGATTTTCGAAATAAGTTCAGGATCTCTGAAAATTTCAAATCTTTAACAAGAAAATTAAATTACTAGTACAACACACAGAAAGGCAGATAGATAAAATCCCTGAGACTATATCAGAAGAAAAAGCACTGACATTTTAGCACTGATGATTTTATGTTATTTTATATGATTTTATATTTTGCCCTATTTCGTCTTTTCTGTATCTTTCTATTTTTGTTAAACACTTATTTATCTTACAATAGAAAAGATATAACTAAGCAGTTAAAATATAAATGTAATTGAACAGTACCTTAGGATTTAGATACCGGCCTGCGTTAATTCTGATTGGTGTTTTATTAATCCAAATTGATTCTAATAATGCATTTACTTGCATCTCTAATGTATGTGTGAGCTTCAGAGCCAATTTATCTTTGACCTCAGAGCCTTCAAGCTATTTGTGTGTTTACTGGTCTTCTAGGGGAATTAGAGTCTGTGATAAATTGTAGGATTCTTTCACTTCCAGATTTTTCTGGGTAGATGAGGCTGTGTAATGATTTATTCTTGAATTTGGTAGGCAAGAGTGCACAACTCAGTTTACTATTGAAGGTATATTTTTGCAAGTTTAAAAAAATATAGAATGGATTTTTTTTTACTGCTGTCTTGAATTACAATCTTTCTTACTGTTGACATCATAAATGCACATCAAAAAAAAAATCCCAGAACATTATCTGAGCGGGTTCATGTATGAACATGTACATGTGTATGTGTGTGATTTACATATTTATTTTTCAATGAACTCTGCTTGAAAGTCATTCTCCCATTTTTTTCCCCATCAGCAATTATAAAAACTGCCCTTCCGAACATGGACAGAGAAGCCAAGGAGGAGTATGTGGTCGTTATCCAAGCCAAAGATATGGGTGGACACTCCGGTGGCCTGTCGGGGACCACAACACTGACAGTGACCCTTACTGATGTTAATGACAACCCTCCAAAATTTTCCCAGAGTAAGTGAATTTCCTGCACAGGGTGAGAACCTAAGTATGATGTTTTCATTTGGTTTCATATTCTAATTTTCAGCAACATCCACAAAGCTGGTTGCAATCATTGAATACTTATATGCAAGGTATGGGAATTCATATATGTACACGAAACAACCAACTCTGTCATTTGGTACTAAATGCATCCTCATTTTACAGATTTGAAAGAAGTTGAAAACAATTTCCAAAAATCGAGCATGTAGTTAAGTAGCAGAGCTGAGAATTAGAACCAGCATGTATAACTCCAAGGTGGGCGCTTATTTCTCAATTCGTGCTACCTTCCATTAACCCAGTTTGAGAGAATGATTAAAACAAAGCTCAGATGTTGTTCTATCAATAGTCTCGTTTGTTGTATAAAAGAAACTAGATCTCTAGCATCTGAGGTGGAAAAGGTGGATATGTAATGCATTTGCTGCAAAAATATACGTCTTCCCTCAACTGTGAGGGCAACAGTCATTGTGGACTGTAGCCTTCCCTGCTAAAGACATGCTCTGCCTCAGAAACCCTCAGCAGCATCCCAGGCAGCCGCCACCAATGAATCAGGAAGATGGGAACTATTTGCCATCTTTCTTGCACTCTCACAGAAACCTTTCCTTTTGAGTATTTTTTGAAGTAATCTGCCACAGAGAGATGATTTGGAAGGTCTTTCCAGCAAGGGGACTCTTGACTTGCCCTATGAATGAGGACTAGGAATGAGCTGAGACGAGGGGAATGCATGAGGCTGGGGGATGGGCATTCCACTGAGAAGAGAAGGGTGTCCGCAGGGCCCTGAAGGAGAGTGGCAGAGTGGACGGAATGTCACTGCCGTGGAAGCACACAGGCTGGAGGGTTAGGTGAAGGGGGATTTAACCATTTTAAGGACCATGACCTTTATGTGGGTGCCACTGGGAAGCATTAAAAGATCTTAAGTTGTAGCTTGCGTAATAGGATTTGATTCCAGGGAAATCAGATCAAATGAAATCTGGCCTTTTCCCAGTGTCTTCTCCACATTGCAGCCAGGTAGGGGCGATTGCAATCATTCATGTCAAAGGTGAGGCAGCCCTGCCAGGCCAGGGTGGCTACAGTGGGAACAGGGAAGCGGGAGTCGTTGTGATGGATATTTGAGAGGTAATGATAACAAAAACCTAAGGCTAAATGGCATCTTTAGTTGAGGAGGTGAGTTATGTTTTTGACGTGAACGATTATTCAATGCATGATGATGCTATTGGCTGGGATAGGAAATACCATAGGAGAACTAGTTTTTGAAAAGAGAGAGAAGAGAGGACTGAGAGGAAGAGAGGGAGAGAAGGAGGGAGAGAGACAGAAGCGGAACTTGAAAATGATACCGTTGAGGTACCTTTGAGAAGTTATCTTCAGAAACGCCAAGGTAGAAAGAATAGAAAGGATGCATTTTCATTGAGAAATTTCACCTCGGGCCATTCATGAATCAGACAACAATGCAACCTTCTTTAACAAAATTATTAGAATGGAGAATGCCATTTCTCTTATCCTTCCCCCAATCTCTTATTTCCTTTTTAGTTGCCATTATAGTTAATGCTCTAATATGCAATTCTTCTTTCGCAGAAGAATGATTGTTTCAATTCAGCAGTGGCAGATGAGTTTCAGAAGCATTCCCTTTCTTGGCAGTAATAACTATTAACTGTGATCACACTGATAGAGATGATGCGAGTGAGCAGAATAGAAATGGATAAAATAATGCTCCATTTACTTGGTTTCCCAAGGCTCTCTGAATCAGGACTGGCAGCAAGTTGAGGTCCCTTGCTGTCTTATTTACTTGATAAGCATACCTGAATGAATCATCTCACACCTTACCTGGAATATAAAGTTTGAAGGAAACAGAATCATTACCCCAATTATGGGAGAACTGGGAGACTTGTGCTCAACATGATGATTTTCAGCGCCTACCTTATGGCAAAATATTTGGAGAAAACATTTTGTTCCCTAGTCCCATTATTTCATGATTCTAAGGGACATTTTTATGTCATCATTGAATAAAAGTGTGTTAGTGCTAGAAGAAAACCTTACCTATCATCTGAACTAATCTTGTTACAGTGGATAAAATGAGCCTTAGTTTATCCAAGGGACCCAGTGATTGAGTTCAAACTATAATTAGGTAATGTTCTCCAGATTTAATTTTTCCTTTTGGGTTTATAGTTCATTGAATGGTTATTTTCCCCTTGTTTTTGTTGCAATGGGAGTAAAACTTCCTGGTTGTCTGGGTCTGGATTCCCCAGAAACAGGCACTGCGTTACGAATTTGATTATAAGCAGTTTGTCTTGGAGAGGATGCCAAGACATGCCTGCAGGGAAGTGAGGATGTGTGTGAGAGAAAGACAGAGAACCTATCGTTGTGTTGTCAAGCACACGGCCACTGTGGGAGACTGCAGCTTTATCCCATTGGGGAAACTCTGGAACCCTGTAAGTATAGAAGCAAAAAAAAAAAAAAAAAAAAAAAAAAAAAAAAGCAATGTTATCCTGCCAGAGAAAGGAGGAGCCTGGGATATTATATACTGATTCATGTGAGTTTTTGAAGGTCTGCTTCTGTGAGGCATTAATTCCCTGGCAGTTCTGGGCTGACAGGCAGGGACCAAAGTGAGTTCTGAAGGCCAGAGAAAACCCTCAGGCAAAGCCATGCAGGAGTTGGCAGCGAGGTGCAGAGCAGGCCCCACTGAAGTGGTAATAGCCAGGGGTTACAGCTCCCACAGCTTCCCCTCCACCAATGACAGTGAGTAGCGCTGAGACAACAACTAACTAACATGATTCAAATAAAAATGTCACTAATTAGAAGTGTTTTATTGCCCCCGTAGGAGAAGGATCATGCGCTGTAATTGTATTTTGCCTAGAGAATTTGGAAGGTAGGATTTCTGGTGTTCAGAGAAATGAGGAAGGACTTTAGTAACAAGAGGAGTGTTTCATGTGTCTGAACAGCTTGCTGCAGGGCAGAGCAGAAGTTTAGTAATTGGATTTTATCAAAAATGGTCTACGAGTCTGTAAATATAAAGGTAACTTCAAAACTGATTTTCAGTGTGTTGCACATTGCATCTTTCTGTGCAGAAATTAGCTTACTATTTTATGTTGAGCAACAATGACTATCCCCATGGGCAGCCAATGTGATTTTACAGTAAATTGGAAAGAACATTCACATAGCTTCACTCATATCTTGATATAACTCAGCTCCAACTACATACTTGGTAAACATGTGGTGGAATAAGTGCCATCTCTCAGAAGAGACTCGAAGAAAGATCACTACTTCTTCTGTGAACTCTTTGTCTCTGACTCACTTAAAACATTGTGCATTTCTTGGCAAAAGGATTTTTTTTTGTGTCTTTCCACATTTTATTGGTGGCATTTACAGGAGTGCCCAGAACAAAGGAAGTGCCCGATAAATTCGTTCGCTGAATGAATGAATGGATGAATAGAATCCAAGCAATGCTCAGTGTTTCTCCTCTTTCCTAAGGTCTGTATCACTTCTCAGTACCTGAAGATGTGGTTCTTGGCACTGCAATAGGCCGGGTGAAGGCCAACGATCAGGACATCGGTGAAAATGCACAGTCATCATATGACATCATCGATGGAGACGGCACAGCACTCTTTGAAATCACCTCTGACGCCCAGGCCCAGGATGGCATTATCAGACTAAGAAAGGTCAGCTGAAGAAGATTTGTTCCCATTCAAAACACCTTTCTGAACCTTAAAGTTTTAAAGTTTGGGGGAGTTGGGAAGACTTCCTGACATAATCTTAGAGCTGACAGAGGTGTCATTTGTTTAGTTGTGAAAAAGTAGAGTTTACTTGATACCTCAAACACCTTGGACCCACTTTAATTTGTATTTATTGATCTTAGAGAGAGAGGGGAAGGGAAGGGAAGAAAGACAGAGAAACATTGATTCGTTATTCTACCCATTTATGCATTTATTGGTTGATTCTCTTACGTGCCCCGACCAGAGCTCAAACATACAACCTCAGTGTATCAGGCCAATGTTCTAACCAACTGAGCTACCGGGCCAGGGGCCCCCTTGGCCCTAATTTACATATCAGCTAAAGCTCTGGTAGTCACTATAGTGGTGCTAGCCTCCCATCTCACCTATTATTTCCCTCCATCTGTGACACACTGCTTTCTCCTAAGCTCTGGGAATTTGTAGGGAATTCAGAACTTGAAAGGCAGCCCTCAATCAGTGAGGTATATGAATTGGTGGGCAATTCTTATTCTTTTAAGAAATTATTTTTAGACATATTGTCTATGGTTCCAAAGAAGAATTCTGGAGGGAAGCAGCCTCAGTTGCCCACAGAGGTGGCAAGTTCAGTGGCTTTTAATGCTTCTCTCTATTCACTCCCCCCATGTCTGCCCTCAAGCTTCCTGGGATAGTTCCACAAAGCACACTGAAGTCTTGCTTGCAGCCTCTGCTTTCAGGGAAACTCAAAAACAGAAGTAGCGTCAGCTCAGGTACTCTGGCTAGTTTTGGACACTGGGAGAACAGGGCCAGTCCTGCTGCCATTGGCTACTCCTCCATGCATCAGATGCCCAAGCATTATGTTAAATGAAGCTCACCTTTGCCTCGCTCCTGGGTGTGGGGCTTCCACAGGAGAAAGGAACATCTCCATAAATAATGTACAACAGATGCATACAATTTGTGACTGCTTTTGCCAGCAACTATTTCTTCTTGTAGTTGTGAAAAATTCTGCACAATATTTTCCATATTTATTTTTCCTCATGACATCGGCATTCATAAAAATGTTTAGAATGCAGTTTGTTATTTTTATAGACATGGGCTTTTGCAAGGAAAGACACTCTTTTACTCTCATCATGAGTATTTTGTGTAATACTGTTCTTCATATTTCTGTCATGAAATAGTACAAATTAATTTTAAATAATGTTGCTTGTTCATGTACAAGAAGATAGATGGTGGACCACACTCCTGGGAGCCCATAATCATAATTCTTCCTTCTGTCCTGATCAGCGTCACATTGACATGGCTCCAAATTTACTCTGCAATTCTCTGTCATGTTGCATAGAAACCTACTTTCTGATGATCGTGCTCTTAAAATCCCCCAGAGAAGAGATATTGGCAATGGAAACCTGAGGTTTTCTGGATTTACTTTTGTATACAAAATAAATTTTAAGACCAATTTTGAGGGGGGAAAAATGGCTGCATTTTATTTACCACTCTCTGCTGAGCAACAGTACTTTTCTACTTGGCTTGAGTTTAGAATTAAGCATTGCGAAGTATTTAAAAACTCATGTTTGAAATAGAGTACAGTATATTTATACTTGAGTCAATTATTGAATAACCCAAAGCCACATTTCCCCTGGCTAATGATTCCTAATGTCATTTTTATTGTTATTATGAACTGCTATCCTTTGTTACCATAAGGTGCCTTTATAAACTGAAGCAATTAACCATTGACTGTATTTTTGTTCCCTATTATTCATAAAATAAGAAGCATATACTGAACCTCTTAACACCAATAAACACACGTATTTTAGTCTAGAGAACACTGTGCAGGGAGTCGTTTCCACAATTCGTGGGTCCTCTTTTTTGTCTGATAAAATCCTAAAAACACCATGATGTTTTGGGGGTACATTGTCACTATGTTGAGAGCTAAGAATTAGGCAGAACAGAATCTGCACTTACCAGTGTTTCCAAAGAATTTGAAATTGCCAAAGTGTTACAGCGGGGATGGTTGGCACAATGCTGATGTTGAGTCATCCATCCGCTGGTACATGTACCTCATAATTTCAGAATAGACAGGGAAGTGCATACCTGCTTCATTTACTAGAAAATATTTCAAACAAAGTCAAGTCCCACTAGAACTGAATTTAATAAAAACCACTACAAAATTTTGAAATAACACATATATAAAGCTAACACAGGAGTTCTGAACGAGTTCACAGATGCTGGCTTGTATTCCAGCTTCTTTTTTAAAGAAAAATCTGCATTGCTGATTTAAAGTTCTGTTTCTTAGAGGAGACTGTAATGGAAACCTAAATTGTGCCTTTGAACCTTGACAGATGTACTTTCTTGAAATCTGAGGCAATGTGAGTTGCCGAGAACGGGACTAGAGGGGTTCTGAGGCAGATGGGCTTCTGGTTATTTAAGGGGATTATGTTCTTTTGCCCAGCGATATTTACCTAGGTCATTAGAGGAGGTCTCTGGGGCTTTTAAGGAATGAGTGGTTAATATGTCAGAAATATTGTCGGGAATAGTGCAATGAGGTAATTTCAAATTGCTTTCAGTGGTTGGTGAGACCTAGGTATCTATATATACCGCTCTCATCCTGTCTTCTAAATATATACACAAGTACATATGTGTCTGCATACATATTTATTTATATGCCCACCTGCTTCTTAGCACGGAACTCATAATAGAGCCCTTCTATGAATACCCCCCCAAATAATAAACCTCATTTTTGCCACACGATCAATAGAGCAGCAATGCTTTGGAAGTGAAATAAGAAAACACTCTATGTTGAGATTAGTGCTAAATTATGCTTTATAATGTCTCCTTGGACTAAACAATGATTATTTCTAGTTCTTCCCGTTTCACACGCTGTTGCAGAAATGATAAAATATTCTTCCCAGATAGAGATTGTGTTTGATGCTGCCTTATCTCTCACCAGCAGCGGCTCAATTAACTGGCTGATTCGTATGCAGGTCGTGCTATCACTAGTAAAATTTTATTATGAATCTGAAGTGAAATTTTGATGGCACAATTCATGACTGTGAATATTTTGTGAATTCCAAGTGAAATGAGCAAAACAAAACACAACAATAGGAGATTAGATTCACCGAGCTTGTATAATAAACAGATATCAATAAATGCCTGTAAAATTTACAGGTGGAATCCAGGGGAATGGAGAGGGATCCCATTAAGGCTCACAAATGGGCTTAAATGCACATAACTATCATCCATCAGCATTACACTCATTTGTACTCGCTGCTGTGGTCATTAGTGAGAAACATTTGTCTTTGTCATTTCTTTTTTTTTTTTAAATGGAGAAAAAGTTTATTACAAAAGTTCACACTTATAAAATACTGCATTTTTGCAACCCAGTACTTTGACTTGTTATTTCTACATTGTTGGGCAAATGATTCTTATGGTAGAGATAACAGACAACAGAATAACAGTATTCGTGTTCACTCATTTGCTTTTCAATGCCATTATTTCCAGGTTAACTGTTTAGTTCCTTTTCAAGTCTGCTTGTTTCTTACCGTCCTGCTTCATATGGTTTAAGCTTTTCCAGTTCTTTGGTTGTAGAGTCTATGTTCTTGTGTTGACTCTTCTCCTACTGTTGGTTTGTGCTCATGTGTGGCTTGTCATGTTTTTGCATTAAGCTACGTGAGTTTTTGGTGAAACATCAATGTTATGGATGAGGCCATCCCTACAGACACAAAATAAGGAGTAGATACCTGAATGGCACAGACACTTAAGCTGTGATGAACGCTGTGCTGAAGCTCTGCACATCCCTTTTTCTGTAGATGAAATTGTCCACATGCCTGTTGATTCTTTTAAAAGTATGCTAAGCAGGCACTACCTAACAGATTTACAAGTGTCACTCATCCATGGTCTTAGACAAAGAGGAAAAAATAAACTTGCCACTCAGAACTGTCGTAAGTGCAAACTGCACATAATTTTGAATCTAGAAGGTGATATATGTAACTTGCAAGCAAAGAAGGAAACCCCCAAGAGCAAGTGAGCCCGGTATAACAAAGCTTTTAACATAATGAAACAGAAACTGCAGGACTTTTATCATGTTATTTTTAGTAGGTTAAGAGATGATGAAGGTAGGCCAGTTGATCCAAATGAATATGCTCTTCAGTGCAGCCACGACGGAAGTGTTTTGTTTATACCCAAGGAATGGGGACCGCAGGCCACAAAAAGGACACTCGAAAGGGAAGGAAAAAAAGTGAGGGAACAAAGTAAAAATGGACTGATTCCATTAATATGTATAATGTAATAATCTGCAGATGATACACAGATCACAAACCACTGAAACTGCTTCAAGGTTTATCTCAAGTGTTATATATCTTTTAAGTACTGTTCCTTGAATCACTCAGTTATTGCTGTATTTTGAAGCTTATACGGACAGGTTTGGGACTTCAAGACCAGGCTTGTGGAAAATCTGGGAAAGCCGCCCCGTCCCCTGAAGTCCTCCTGCATTACGTGCACAATTCCTAAGTATGTACAGAGAGTAGCGCGCCGTGAGAACCCGCTGTGACTATCCAGTCACTTTGCTAGCCATTTTTGTTTAGTAAGATGGTCATTTCGAAAATAACAAACACTGCATGTAATTATTTTTAAATGTCTTTGTCATTTCCTAACAGCCTCTGGACTTTGAGACCAAAAAATCCTACACACTGAAGGTGGAGGCAGCCAATATTCACGTTGACCCACGTTTCAGCGGCAGGGGGCCCTTTAAAGATACAGCAACTGTTAAAATTGTCGTTGAGGATGCAGATGAGCCTCCTGTCTTCTCTTCACCGACTTATCTCCTCGAAGTTCATGAAAATGCTGCTCTAAACTCTGTGATTGGGCAAGTGACTGCTCGTGACCCTGATATCACTTCCAGCCCTATAAGGTATCTTTCTTACTGGCTACCTCAGATGACAAGCAAGGCAGTATAGAGTGCAATTATGTGTGCATCCTATGTGGCTGCCTTTGGGGCTGACCTCACGTGATCAAAGAATTTTGGTCAACACATACTGTATGTGTATATGTGTGTGTGAATGTGGGTGCACACACATGTGCGCACACATCAACTCAGAGCTACATACAATGCCCCAAGCCATGGGTATCAAGATGAATAAAGCTATTGCAGCTTTCAGAAAGCTCAATGAGAATGCAAAATTGCATGTGTTTTGCAATCCATTTGGGTGGATCTTTTATATTATTTTGTTCTTGCTGGTTTTTGCATTTTGGTTTTTTTTCCCCTAGCACTATGAGAGTATTGCTGGTTTTTCTTCTTTCTGTTTTGACAGTTATAGTGAATTATACATAAGAATTTAGTCATGATACCACTGCCTCAACATATTAGAGGTCCCTATTTTATTTCTATATTTGGTGTTGGGCTTTGAAATTATCTTCTTATCACTTCATGGGCATTTCTGGTTGGAAGCGTATCTAGATTGGCAACTATTAGACAAAATCTTTCTCTGCCATTTTCAAAAATACCTTTTGTTTATACTTTATCTGCTCAGAATTTTTTCCCAAGATGAGAAATGATCCTTTATTAAAGTTTTTCTGCCTTTTTTAGAAATGAGACTCAAATCTATTTTTTTTTTCTATTGAACTGCATGCAACTTTTCTCTTTTGCCAGTCACCCAAATGACAGTACAGTGCTCAAGCTAGATAGCTTTTGTTCCCAAAAGAACTTTGCAAATCTATAACTTGTACACTGGTCTCCAAGGGTGAAGTGTTGGCTAGTGATGTGTTTGAGTGTGTATTTCAAATATTGTCTTAGAAATGTTTGTTGAAAGGAAAGAGAGAGAAAACCTAATGAAGGAACACGGTTTTAGAGAATTGTCCAGTTACTCTAAAAGTTTGATGTCAGCTCATACCCCACTCATTCACTTGGGTCATGGGGATACAAGGCTAAAATCCTTCTAATTACTTTAGTGAGGGAAACTCTACACAAATAAATGTTCTGCAGATTTTATTTACTTACTTCTTCCCTCCTGTATTGCATTCTCATCTCTCACAAGAGGTGCTGAAATGACGAGGCTGGCAGTGAAACCCTGTGGTAGTCAGTGCCCCAGATAATTTGAAATTGGGCAAAAAGTAATTTTTTTCAGATCCAGAAAAGAAATTTTAACACAAAACATTTCTAAATTCAGGATAATAAAGATTGTATCCAATAAGGATACAAAAAATGCTTCTTTCAAAAGAGCCCAAACTCTAAGAAAGTAAAATCCCACCTGGGCATTTAAGGAATGGTCAGTTGTCCATTCTCCTTTCTTAAGGAATTCAACAAGCTATAAACACCCAAAATTCGCTGCATTGGGCTAAGAGAATTCTATGTCTCAAAGGGTCAACTGTTGAATGCAAGGGAAAGAAGTATCCGGAAAAATAAATTGACATGGGCCTCCATTTTATGACAAAAATAGTGAAGTTGTAAAATGGCTTTATCTTGAAATTATGTTATAAATTAGAGGCAATGACATTTTTTGAATGAATGAATCTGCCCCATTTTCATGTTACTCCACTTCCTCTGAAAAAAACACAGAAAGGAGCAATGGCCACTTCTGCAGATAACCAAGCGCAAGTGCAGAAAGACGAGGATAAGCAAGATGGGTCTATTTGAGAGACCTGTCGCCGAGGCTGTTTTGGCACTTGATTTGACAAGATTTCTGCTCTTGTTAGCGAGGAACGCAGGGGGCTCCAGAGCGTGCCAAGCCAAGGGTCCTTCGGGAAAGTGGGGAGATCAGATATCAGGGCAATCACGAGAACACTCCAAACATGAAACCCGTAGTCCCAGCAGGAACGGACTTCCTGCACAGAGACATGTCCTCAATCAACTCACAGTGAGGGTTGAGGGGCTTTTTATACCATTGTGCCAGACAGCTCAAACGGGCAGAACTGGGTAAAAATCCAGGGTCATCGTCTCCCCATACGTTTTGAATCCATCCATTCACTGGTGTTAAAATGGACATTCACTGATAACAATTCTAAGTCACAAAGAATTGGGTGATGATTATCATTGTAGTTGATTGTTATTATTATGGTGTTGTTATTTTTATAATTGTCAACTGGTATGAAAGGCAGGTGTAGAGGAAGCATGGAGCCGCTTAGTAACAGTTGTCCAACTTCAGAGCATTTTGTTTGGGAGCAAATTAAAGGGGACTCGGGGCTGTGCTACCAGAAAGAGCTAAACAGATAAAGTGCTATTGGATGACACAGACATATCTATGCTTTGACAGATGTCAGGCATGGGGCTAGTTCCTTGACCTCTATGGTCCCTCGCAAAGAAGGGGGTGGATACTGTTTCAAAGCTTTCACAAGGCGAGCTGCACGCACACCGCTCTCACTGCAGGTGGACTGGCTCCAGGAGATATAAATGTAAGAATCGCCAACTGCATTTTTCAGCATCTGTTCTGCATTTTTGTAGTTGCCCCTCCCCCAAATAAGTTACAGGGAGCAGCTTTTTTTCTGTCCTACACAAGTGGTTGATTTGAGTAGAAAATTAAATTTCCTGACTCGCCAGAGCAGTGCGTCTGAGACTATCCTTATGAGACTCGCAGACAGATTGAGAGCCATTTAACCTTTTTAATCAGTAGTAGAGGACACGGATATTCAGGGAGTTACTGAGTCACAAAGAGCAAATCGTTATGGTCTCTTTAGGAATGTTGTATTTTACATCTGCGACAAGAATGTATCCATCTTTTGGTGGGATATTTACTTGACTCTCCAGCAAGAAACAGGCATTTGCTGTGTCACATTCCATGTTAAAACATGCGTCATTTATTGCGTGGTTGACTTACCATACTAAGACTCAATGACTTTTTACGGCATGTTGTCAAGCAGGAAATATTATGTAGTTTAAAATTCTTACACTTATGCCTATTCTATATCTGTATCTGCATCTAAGTCTCTTCGACTCCCTTCCAGGAGAAAATAGAGGCAAATTCATGCTTGTACTCTCTCCTTTCTAGGAACAGTAATTAAGCATTTACTGTTTTCTTCAATACTATATATCTTGTGTTAATATAGAATAAATTTGTGTAAATTATTCAAAAGATGACATATTTTGAACTGAGACTAAGGTTTAAACCCTGTCACTGGTACTTCCCCGACAGGTAGCCTACGGAATTTTTTGAGACTTAGTTTCCTCATCTGTATTTTGGGATAATATCATCTCCCTTCTAGGTTACTGAGGTAATTGCATTAAGTCATTAAATAAAATAGATGGTAACTGTTAGCATTGCCAGTTCATAAAAACACCATCAATGTATCGTAAATGCAAATTGAAAACCTAGTACTTATTTTAGGAGAGGTTGTTCTATTAGAGGTTGCTAAATGGATATGGAATTTCCTGTTTATTTTTTTCTTTAATCATTATAAGCTAAATGCTCTAACCTCATTTAATCAAATTCGGCCCTGCTACTACTGTACATAATTGTCACTAGTGAGTGCTTATCAATATATGGCCAGGAGATGCTCAATATACCCACTTTCTTCCCTAACAGCTCTGTGAGATGATATGCACAATATACTACACATAATCCTCATTTTACGTGATGAAGAAACTGAGGGTACAGACTCACTTGCCCAGCTCCATGCAAACAGTCCAGCGTGAATGCATTCCTGTGACGTGTCCCTGAGTTTTTCTAACACCACGACGCCTGTCCTCAGTGCGTGTGCCCCACTCCCTTCCTTCCCCTGTGGTCTCTGTGGCTCCAACTGTGTCTCTGCAGGTTGATAGGTCTTAGCAGGGCCGATTTTAATTGAAGTAATAAATTATTCACTCTCTAAATGGGCTCATTCTGTCCCAGATGCATTGCTAGAAGGGAGGAATATACGCCGGTGTCTGGAATGAACCAGAGAATGGGGAGCAGGGTGCCTCGCTGCTCCGTCTAGCCCCTTTGCATGCTTTGTTACTGGCTATGAACTATATTGTGAATAGGAAAGTAAAGGGAGAAACAATGGTATTGTTATTTAATGTATCGGATGTAAGTTTCTATTATGCATTATTTCATTTAATTCTCACAAAAGACATTCTGATATGATTCCAGTTTAATAATGAAGGAGCAAGCTGAGAGTCTGAAAGGATAAGTGTCCTGTGCATGGTGATATAGCAGGGGGTGCGGGGCCAGGGTTTGAAGCCAGATCTCTTCTTGCCCCCGACCGCTAAGTCGGTGCGCGCCTTCCTCAGTTCTGGCTTCTTGCATGAGAAATAACAGGATGACAGCTACTGTTTACTGAGTCCATACTTTGTGACAGACACTCGGAAATGGTGTTCCATGCAGGAAATTATTTATATTAAAGGTAAAAACTAGCACAAAGTAGGTATTGAATATAAGTCAATGTTTCCATATAAACCTGCTATGGTTCATTTTTTCCCCTCTCAACGCCTTTATTTCAAGTGTGTATTTGGGGTTGTCATGGCATTGAGATGGCATGTGGCCGCTTTTTAGATAGTTGCTTCCTCTTTCTCTCAGCGCATTCCCCTTGAGCAAGACGACATGCGCTGCTTAAGTTAAAAGTGGCAACGACAGCCTCTCAGCAGGCAGAGGAGGCTGACACAGGATCTTGGTAGCCACAGAGCTCTGCTGTCCTCATTCCTCTCTTGAATTTAAGTGCCCACTCAACACAAGAGCACAGCTTTTTCCTCCCCCTCCTTCCATTCTGGCAGTTTTATGATTCACCTCAATTACCAGGCTTGCAGTTAATGAGCTCTCTTCCTGAAAACACTCCTTAAAGTCCTGATATCCAATGATGCCAAAGGGGAAATATTTTATGCTGTAGAAACCTGGGATTAATTTGGAGGGGAGACTGTGTATTGATTGATCCTCAATTCTACATTAACTCCCATTTTTAGTAAAGACCTGGTTGGGTGTGTTTTTATTTTTTTTTAATTGTGAT